GTTAAAAATGTTGTTGTAAATTTACAACACATTTGATGTAAAGTTTGATAGCAACAAATGTTGTTAAAAAACAACACATGTTGTAATCCAACAACATTCACCAAATTTTCTGCAACAAATTTTTATTCCAAAACAGTGGTTATATACTTTCGTCTGCACCAAAAAAATTGTAATAAAACAAACTTGTTTGTTCTGTAACGATACATCTTGCTATCAAACTTTACAACGATATTGTTGTGGTTTTACAACATGGTGAAACGTAGTAATCATTGTTATGGACCACTACGGGCAAAATAGAAGGAATTTTGCCACGTTCCAATAAAAACGAACAATGTTGTTTTTTTAACACACTAGTCATTACAAAGGGTGTGATAATTTTACAATTTTTTTTAACAGTGAGCTCTCTTCCTCCTCCCCCTCGCCCGTCTTCTCGTCTGCTGCACAGTTTCGCGATCCAATATTAAAACATTTCGGTCCGGCTCGCTCATGACGTGATGCTGTATCAAATTCTGAACGGGCTGTTGTTTTCAAACCGGAAAAGAGAGGGTCTTTACCCTCGACTGTGAAAATTAAGAATTTATTGCCAGCACTGTATGATAGCCTAGAAGAGTAAGGTTATATCTCTTTGAGTGTATTCGATTTGAATAATACATGTTAACATGATGTGATCGGTGGCATTATTGTCTGTTCATCAATGCGTTCAAACATGGTATCTGTCAACAAGTGTGCAATAGCAATCTCTGAGCAAATGTTTTAGTACTGCTTGTAAACAGTACAGAAGACACTTTTTTCTACTCACCTGGATATTGTGGAGCATGCCAGTTCAACCAGAAATACAACCAGGATGTTAAAACAACTGAGAACTATCCATAGATATGATGGAAAACATAAACAATTGGTGCAAACAGCTAATGTTCATCTGACAGCACAATTTGTGCTATCAGAAGAGAAACTGCTATTTGCACAACTTGATCAAAATTGCTTAGAGGACATATTGCTACAAACCTTTGCACCACATAAACAAATTATATCAGTTACACTTTTTTGGTTTGATCTGCTTGTTTAGGTCGTCACCGCTTTCAAATGTAAATAAAAGCTACAGGATCAGCATCCAAAAGCTTCTGGAAGGATTCTGCAAGTTTCTCCTCAGGCGTTTCCCCATTAAGGCCCTCCTTCTTCCATCTCGCCCTATTGAGTGGAAATGTTTGGACATCAACACTAAAATATACTAATTCACCTCCAAACATATTAGGCATACATACCTCTCATTCACCAAGTCACGTTGCTGTATCTGGCCACAGTCCATAGACCTAATCAAAGAGCGGATCTTGCATGGTTTCACACCAGCTTTGGACAGAAGCTCTGTTGTGGCTTTAACTTTGGGATTCTGCAGCCTCCCTCTTCGAGTTTTAGGGAGGGCTGAAAAGAACTTTTCATCGCAGCGATGGTTGTGCTCAGGCTCAAATGAATCCACCAGTAATTCTGTCTTTGAGCAATTAGGTGAAGCTTCACACGACAGCCAGTTTTCCAAGTTCTGTACAACATTATGGCAATGAATTAAGCAATGTGAACAGGCAACATACTCATTCAACGGTATGTAGATACACTTACGACTGGTGGCTACGCAACCCTTTCCCATTATTAATCCTCTCCACAAGTACACGTACAAGTACACGTCAGAGTGATATTTTTGTGCTTCAGTTTCGGATCATACAATGCTGTCTCACCTCGCGCTTTCAGGTTGAGATTTTTATTATCGATTGATGACGAATGGGCAACCCTCCATGCAAACCACTTTTCTTCGCCGTATGCATCTTCACAAAAGAGAAAGAAAGATTACTGGAAATACACACTAACTGATGTTTTAAAGAATGTGAGGTTACCAAGCTGGATATCATATCTCTTCACGTAATGAAGCTTTCAACGCAATTGCCACATATGTATTATTACCTAGACACTTCTCTACGTCGCACCAACTAGTAAACGTCCTTCCCGGGTAGGGAATGTTGCTCGACGTAGCCATCTCCCACACCTGTCCCAAACATGAGGATACTAATCGGCGAACGGCCTGAACACGAGGGAGTAATCTTCGTGGAAAAAACGAGTTGCCATCGAAACATACTCTGGTGCAAATACAAATTGTATAACAAGCCGCACAATTCGTGCAACAATTTGAATACTTCTTCTTTGCACAACACTAAACACTTTGGCTTGTGCAAATACATACGCTTCTCTTAAATGCACAACTAGTGCTCAGAACGAAAAAAAAAACCTATTCGCACGACTTGTGCTTGGGTTGTGTACACATAGCTCCCCCACGGCTCTTGCACAAATCGTCTTGTGCAAATAGAGTTTCAACGCCTTTGTGCACAACTTGTGCGAATATAACTTATCCTTTTTGTGTATAATCCGGAACACTTTCAATTTGTTGGCGCTCGAGTGTGGTTTTCCGGAAAATTAAATAAATGTACGTCGCCGCTAACCTTCAGACGGACTTTAACACGACAGAATAACTTACGTTTACGACTAGTCCTGGCATTAATCGGATCGGGCCGGCTGGGGTTTTTAAAACATTGCTCATGGATCAAAGACTACGCCTGATTCAAAATATCAGGCTTTCTTTCTCTACCGTTGCTTATATCACAGTTTCCACGCTTCTCCAAAAATGCCTTCTGCTCGGCGTGGTCCTACCCGGAAAGAGGACCTTCTATTCAACTATTATTAATATCCCAGAAGGTGTATTGTCAACAATACTGTGCCATTTAAAATATTATAATTAGGAGGAGCGGGGTCAGGTGGGTTGGGTAGTGTTGACGATGTTCACCAAGGCCCAGTATTGTCAACAAAACTGGGCTAAGTCACAGTATTGTTACAGATTAACTAAAACTTAAGATCATCAAAAGATAAGGCCGTCGCGAGCTTAGGTTTTTTTATAGTTTCCTGAGAAGTAATTCGTAAAATTGAAACATTTTGTCCGTTTGGCTGTATCTCTAACCGTTCAGGCGCTGGAGGGTTCTTTTTTGGCGAAAATAAGCTAAAAATTGCTGTACTGAACAATAAGTTGTAGAAGAAGGCCTAAAAACCGCAAAATAGGAAATAAACTTCCCCACCAACCCCCACCCCATCTCAAAAAACGTTTTCTAAGCAGAAGGGTAGGTTGTAGTCGCGGTGCTTCACCGTTACATTATTGGATTATCAAAAATATCTGTTTTCCCCTCTCTTGTGTTTGTATAGCTCAACTGTGTAAGTGCTGCTACCTAGTGGCCATTCTTTGTATCTTTTCGGTGCTCATTTGTTTTTTTGTCCCTGGTTGTTGGCGGCAATAAAGTCAGTTCCAGTTGTGAGAGCACCAAACTAACATGTGTGTTCGTT